TACCACTAAGGCCAGTCTAGCCCATGGAAACTTGATTACTTTTAAGTAAAATTTTAAGTCTTAGAATAACCTAAAGTATGAGTTTATATCTTCTCCCAAATTAAAAACCTGAATACATCCAAATTAAAAATATGAAAACATCCAATCCCACTCATTTCCTGTCTCTGCTCCTATTCCAAAAGTATTAAAAGTGTGCTAAACACTTAAGATTTGGGTACCTGCTCACAGCCACCACATCAGGCTGCATTACAACACCAGGGTCAACTTCAAAATGCTATTTTATCTCCTGACAAAAGCATGAACATAGCATTTTAACTGAAATAAACAGGGTTAAATAAATTCCATTGTGAAAGCGAACTTGTCGTTGCTTGCATACTTATAATGAGAATAGAAGAACTCCTGTGATTGACAATTTGTGATTTGAAACATCTTGTCAATTTCAGGGTGGTCTGTACCTCTCCATTAATGTTGACTGGATTTATCCTAGAAGATGGATTTACGTCAGTGAGGAACTGTGCATTCACAGTGATAGGGAAGCATGACACTGTTTAACAATGATCTATTTTTAAAAAGAAGTCAATACCATACCCTCTAAGAACTAGATGCTATGGCCACTCAGCAATCAGGAAACAAAATCGTGTGTAGCTTTTAGGTAGCACACACATTTTCTTTGTATTTGTTCCCTGACAATAGTGTCCTTGCTTTTTCAAACATTTTGCAGTCTTTGTGTGCAATGTCAGAGACTTCTTAATTCAAGGCAATCTAAAAAAAAAAAATGCCACAGAATAAGCATCGCTTGAGGAAATTTATCAAAACTCTGCTGTTGAAGTGAAGTTGACAGGAACTGATTTCTATCCTCTTCTGCTGTCAGACCCCAAATCCACATTTCACAAACACATGACTGTTTTATCCAAATGCCCTTTATTTTTTCCTTTTGGTAGCTTTCATAATTTTGATTATACTAAAATTATGCAAAAATTATTCAAATTTTTATGGGTTTTTTTTAAATCAGGGTCTAACTATATATCTCAGGCTAGCCTCAAACTCACAATCCTTCCATCTCTTTCCTGAATACTGGGATTACAGATGTAATCATTACCAGTTGAATTTATGGTTTTAATTAAACAGAAGAAACAGATGGTATAACAAGAGCAGCCTGAAATGTGAACAGTAGAGGTGCTCTTATCCACAATCAGAAACAGGAGAGTTATCAACACATCAAATGTATAGAATCACAAAGCAATGTGTATGAATTTCCTAGAATTGCTATAACAAATTACCATGAGCTTGGTAATTTACAACATAGATTTTTTCTCTCTCTCTCACTGTTCTAGAGGCTAGAAGTCCAAAACTAAGACATCAGAGCTTCCAAGGGAGAATCTGGTCCATGTTTCTTCCTACCCTCTGGGGGTTGACAGCAATCCTTGATGTCCCTTTGCTCATAGCTGTATCACTCCAACTTCTGCCTCCATCTTCATAGTCATCTTCCCTCTGTGTGTCTCTCTGCCTGTCTGTCTCTCTTAGCCTTTTTATAAGGACATCAGTCATGCTGGACACCTTAACCTAGTGTGACCTCATCTTAGCTGATTAATCTACAAAGTTACTATTTCCAAATAAGGACACAGACTAGGTTCTGAGTGGTCATAAATATTAGGAGGATACTATTTAATCTGGTATACAAGGATATGGTCACATTTTAACTTTCTACATGATCTTAATATAGATAAGTGCACATGCATTCTATAGTCTTTGCTTGCTCCTGCCTCTTGTAACCCTGCATGGCAGATACATGAGTCCCAATCTGTGCCTGTGAAATAAAGAATGAATGAGTCTTTCAGACAGGACCAAAGCCTTTCCTTGAAGTGTGGATCTGCTAAATGGTGTCTCTTACCTAAGCCTCTTCAGCCATTTGCAGGGCCATTTCCTCTGCCACACAGAAGAAAGTAAAATAAAGATGCTTGCAAAGAAATCTGAGTGAAGAATCCTTTCAGCATTCTCATCCACACTTAATTCAACAGCAGTTATTTTTAATGTACTTATCTTGCTTTGGTGGCCTTCCAAAGGACCCAACCTAGTTTTATAGAAACTACCATCTCTCCTTTCACATGCATATGGAATCAGTTTACATATAAGTTAAGATGGTTCATTTTAAGTGTCCATTTGACTGGGTGAAGGGATGCTCAGATAGCTGGTAAAACATTATTTCTGGGTGTGCATGTGAGGGTGTCATTCGAAGAGAATAGCATTTGAATCAGCAGAGCAAGAGCACCCTCCCTCACTAACCAGGCATCATCTAATACACTGAGAACCTGCATACAGCAAAAGCCCAAGGAAGGCTGAATTCTCTCTTCGAGCTGCAGCATTCATCTTCCACTGTCTTCCAACATCAAAACTCCAGGTCCTCAGGCCTTAGACTCAGAGCCATTGAGCAGTTCCCATCCCAGTTTCTCAGGCCATCAGCCTCCGACTGGGAGTCACACAACAGGCTCCTCTGACTCTCTAGTTTGCAAACAGCAGATGGTAGAACTTTTTGACCTCCACAATCACAAAATAATTCCCAAAATACATCTCTTTACATGCACACATCACACAAAATCTCCTATTTGTTGTTTCTCTGGAGAACTGTGAAACAAATGCGTAAGCATAACTGGAATAAACACGTCTGGGAATAAACACTGGAGATACTACATAAGTATACTACACTGTTGCTGAGAGAGGTAGCAGGACTGCCAGCTTTAACATTCAAACACTTTATATACCAGGGACTAGATGAGTAAGATTGACAGGCAATGGCAGCACTGGCCAGTGACAGCCAGGTGAGAAACTGCCTGTTACCCCAGGCCTAATCTGTATGATTGGGGGAAGAGGGGTAGGTGACAATTAGGAAAGCTTTGTAATATTAGATTTTAAAAAATGAAATAAGAAGTTTAAAGATTGACAAAGATGGGAAGAAATGGCTTTCTGGTAAGGCACTGGCACGGAGGTGTGTTTGGAACCTAACTTTTTTACATCACATGGTGGGGGTGGGAGATGGCAGGAGAGGAAGTAGAGAGCTTGGCAGGTCTAGAGCATCACCTGATTTTTTAATTTAAAACTTTATTCTGGCAGGTGCAGAGCAGAGACTGGAGAGCAGGTGCAAGGTAAAGGGAAGGACAAACAGTGATGAAGATGTTGTGGACTCATGGTGGTCCAGGGTGGTGGCAGTGGACATGAGAAGCAGTGGATAGAGTCTTGTGACAACCAAGCTGATAAACTTGTGACAACCAAGCTGATAAACTGATAGCACCTGTTGTCAGGGGAATGGAAGAGAGAGGGAGGTGGCTTTCTGGAACCTTCACACAATTTTATACTCCTGCAGAACCATTTCATCTACCTAGAAGACCCTCTTTCTTGCCTGGAATTTACAGGGTCTCTGGTACCTCGCACTGTGTCTAGCATATTAGGGACTCAGAAATTGTTGAAAAAATGAAGAAATGAAGAAATGAATACCTCCTGCCTTAAAGAGAGAATGTGATATACATCAGAAACAGGTAATAACATCCTTTGAGCTTATGTCAAAGTTTTTCGTTCACTATCTCAAACAATATGGCTGGAGAGGCTGTTGAATAATAAGAATGAGTCTCCTGGAAATGCTGAATAAAGGACTAACAAATAGTACAATACTTAATTCATTCATTTATTGAACACCTACAGAACACCAAGACTACTTTTAAGTACAGTGGGACTCTGGGGTGAAACCAAAACCTGAAGTTTATTGATTAAACACTACTGGGAGTCATGGCCCCCATTTAATGATATAATTCCCTGGCTATTTTGTTACCTTTATTGCTCCCTTGTTTTACTAGCAATACATATCAATAAGGAATAAAAATAAAGTTTGTAAACTTGTTCAAGAAAATTAAGAAAGTGTGCTTAACAACGTGGGAGAAACACAGGTGGAACACAAAAATCCCAGAGGCCTGAAGTAAGAAGAAAGAAAGTGAGACCAAACTCTGGTCTTAAGGATTTAAATGTAACAGTCTCATCCCTAAACAACACTCTGCTTTCCTGAGACTTGTGGTCAACAGTCTGGTTGCGCAACTTGCAAAGTTTGCAGAAATGAGCCCCTTATTTCATTGCCTATTCACCAACAACTCACCAAATGAGAAGGGATTCAACCTCAGGAGAGAGCTCAGGTACTCCCTGACCTCAGGCCACCCACACAGAGAAGACTCACGTTCCTAGGGAAATAATGTGGGTAATACACACACCAGGAATGACTCTGCCTTAGCATTCAACCATCAAGATTAATAAGAAGTTGTGGCTGAACTAAACAGGATATAGAATTGTCACGGATCCAGACATAGTCTTTACCAGGCGACCAATCAGGAGAAGGGTGTCCCACTAGGTTAAGGGTGTAGTGACAGACAAAATTTTTACAAGTTATAGGGGGTCCTGTTGTGGCAGGCATTACTCTTATTGTTGCTGGAGATCAAGGGTGTCTGGGGATGGAGATAGGGGGTCAGGGCAGTTGGAGACACCAAAGGGATCAGGGCAGCACCGATTTATCAGCTAATATGGAAGATTTTTTGAGTTTTTAACTAGCATGAGATGAACACCAAACCTGCATTTGGGCCTTAGGAACTAGCAAACTTTTTATGTAAAAAGACAGAAAGTAACTATTTTAGGCTTTGCAGACCATATGGTACTATTTAACTCTGCCATTGTAGTACAATCAAAGCCACAGACAATATATCAATGAATGTTGCTTGTGCTCCAATAAAATTGTTAAAAGAAGGCAGAGAGTGAGAGAGATATGGCCCATGGGCTATGATTGTAACCTCTGTTTACAAAGTAGCAAAGCTACAATCAAATTTTCAACCTCAACCTCATTAGCATGGTCTTACCAACTGATCTAACCAGCCATGATGATCCTTAAATGCCTACTTAATGTTTATAGACCCCAAGAGACTAAATCAAAGCCTGCAGTCAAACCATCCCCCTCAAATTAAGATACTCACCCAGAGAAATCCGTAGTGAGAATTCCATAGTGGAAGATATATATTCGGCTGATGTGACATATGGTAAGATACCCCATTGCTACAAAAAAGGAGTACCTAAAACCAAAAACACAGACAACTGAATTATTAGGCATGACAATAGTGTGCTTGATAAATGTTCTATTCTTCTCTCTCAGCCTCTACATGCAATTGGTCACAACGTCCTATATTCCAGGCCATCCTTTCTCACCTGCCCCTCCACTAATCTGAGCCTTCATCTTTTCTCACCCGGACCACAGTGGTGGTTCTCAGCTTTGGCAGCACAATAAATTCAGGAAGCTTTACAAACTCTAGGTACCTGGAATCTACCCCCCCCCCCGCAGCTATTCTGGCTTAGCTGGTTACCAGGTGCACCTGAAATGTCTGAACTCAGATTCTCCTCTTCACATACCATCATGGTTTCATGATGATCTTCACAAAATACAAATCACCACCATACTGCCAACCACTCCTTCTTTGTTCTCTTGATTCCACCTGCTTCTTAGGTGTTAGCATCCTCAGTGCTCTCTGAGGACTCTTCCTTTTCACACCTCAGGCCTCCATTACCACTCACTTATTAGCATCCCCTGGCTTCTCTCTCTTTCAGAAAGGCGGTCCTGACTAGGTTATAGTATAAACTAACAATAAACACACACAGCACAGGTACTGAGAAGTATTTATTTGTATGTGAATACTCTTGCCTTTAATAACATTTGTCAATTATAAATATATGTGATAATCTGTATAATGGACAGAATGTGTCACCCCACCAGGAAATTTAATATGTTGAAATCCTAACCCCCTTGATGTGATGGCAGGAGGTGGGACCTTTGGGAGGTGATTAAGTCATAAGGGTGGAGCCCTAGAGAATGGGAATAGTGTCCTTATAAAAGGGATCCCAGAGAGCTCTCCCACTCTATTTCCATCATGTGAAGATACAACAAGAACTTGGCAATCTACAAACCAGAAAAGGAACCTCATCAAAAAGACACCATACAGAATAATCTCTGACTTCAGCCCCTACAGGTATGATTTATAAGCCACCCACCTATAGGGCTTTGTTATAACAGCCTGAGGAGACTAAGGTAACCTTTAACTACTGCATCCCTTACTTGACTTATAAGCTCCACAAAAGTAGGTGGTCATGTGTATATTGTTTACCATATCCACTCAATGCATGTTACTAACTATGTGAATGCTACTTTTCCCTAAAATCTTCAATGGATCCCACTATCTAGTCAGATCTGAAGTCCTGAGCACAGCAAGCAAGGGGCTCCACATGGACTCATCTTCAGCCATGCTCCAATTTGTATTCAAATTATTCACCTTCCACAACTGCATCCTGCATTTTCAGGGCAGATGTCTTTCTAGATGTTCCTTCTTCTCTCAGCAACTCCTTTCTCCCATAGCTCATCTTGGAATTACCTAATCATCAGGCAGGGCTTAGCTCCAATGTCATCTCCTCCCTTTCATTTAGTTTGGTCTTGCTCCAGTCCCCCATCCCATTTCCTGCTCCCCAACCCCAGCATGCTCCATTGCTCCATTGCCAGCATTGTTCTAGTACTACATGCTGACACATACAACCATAATTCCAAAATTATCTGAGCACATGTCTATTTTCTCCAACTCACTATGACTCTGAGCATCCCAGCCCTTGGCTTGACACATAGGAGGGCATCAGTGACATTCAGTAAAAATGAACTAAATGAATACATTAAACACTTTAAATGGTTCAGAAGCCCATCAGATGCAGAAATAAATTCAGATGGCATAACTTTTAACATGTGTCATAAAACAGGAAAAATGATTATTCTAACAGTAAATTATATTTACATTCACATATTCACATTAAAATGACTCACAAAAACTAGGTCAGCCCAAGGAGTAGTAAAGTATTAAGGATAATGAAATTCATTTGGGGGCTGGCGGAGTGGTTCAAGTCTAGGCAAGCATGAGGCCCTGAGTTCAAACGCCAATACAACGACAATAGAAAAGAAACAAAATTTTTAAATTCATTTGGTAGTAAAGAACAGCCAGATAGTGAATATGAAAAAGTTCTATAAATTCCAAAACATCATATAACTTTAAGTTCTCTTTACCATTACTAACAAAGATGTTACAGATTGAAGGGCTGGGGGTGTAGCTCAGTAGTAGAGCACTTGCCTAGCATGTGTGAGGCCCTGGGTTCCATCCCCAGCAACCACACACACACACACACACACACACACACACAGGATGTTACAGACTGAACATCCCTAACATGAAAATATCTGAAATCCAAAATGTTCTGACATCCAAACATTTTGGAGTGTCATGTCAGCCCTCAAAAAGTTTCAGATTTCAAAGCATTTCAGAGTTCAGATTTTTTGATTCAGGATGCTCAACCATTAAATTCTATGCAAATATTCCAAAAACTGAAAAACTCCAAAATCTGAAATACTACTGTCCCAACAATTTCAGATAAGGGATTCTCAACCTGTGCTATACAAAAAGATTTTTCCTACCTTGGATTCATCCTAAAGCCTTTCCAGACCAGGAAGATAGACAACAAAGCAAATTCCTGAGAACAAACTCCCTGAAGAATTTAAACAGGAGTAGAATGGAGTCAGCCTTGTTGCTTCCAGCACCCATTCCCCTCCTCCAGCCAGTTCATGAGCTCAAGGCATTAGCACGAAATAGATTTGCAAGACAGATTCTTCCAGGACCAGATCAAATGCAGTCATTCCAGCCACTCTTTGACCTTAACAGGAGTTAGATCCAGATCTCCCCCTAGCTCAAGGGTAAAGCAGGTTCAACTCAGTTGCAACCAGATGCAACTGTCAAGGATGCAGCAAGTGCTGAACTTAACACAACAGAGCAATGCATTCACTCCCTGCTGGACCTGAGAAGTACAAGAAATCCAGCAGTTGTAGAGAAAACATGTATTCTGGAGACAGGCTATTGGGAGTTCAAATAACAGCACTGGCAAAAGTAACCTGTGGTATGTAAGGTTGGCAGAGCGCTTATTTTGGAAAAGAGGGGTGTGGGCAGATTCAGACAGGAAGGATGCTAATGTTCTTTTCTTGATCTGGCTGGGATTACATGGGTGTGTTCACTTTGTGAAAATTCATCAAACTGTACTTATTTACTTCTCTGAGCATCTTTTTCTTCATCTCAGAAACAAAAATCTGCCTTAGAAAGCAACTCTTAGAAGTAATATATTTGAAATTATGAAACATTAAATGCTATATTAAATAATAGTGTGTGTGTGTGTGTGTTAAAAGTAACGAAATGTACTAAAGAGAGTTTGGGCTAGGACTTGGCATACATCAGGGACTCCAGAATGGATAAATGCACCCCCGACTCTCACACAAGTCCTCTGTCCTGGGAGATACAAACCATATTCTGTTCTAGTTGGTCTGTCTACTGCAAATGGATGCCTGCAAATTCTACCCAACAGAGTAGCTTGGGATGAAAACAGAGGTGGTACCCCTAGGGCTCTCTACAAGCATTTAATAAGCAGTCTAAAACTAGGTGAGTTTGATGTGGCAGCAAACATTAATTCTCCCTCCTCTTCCAAGTCTTAAGACAGAACTCATTATTACTGACTCAGAGATGTAAAAAGGAAAACAATTTACAAAGAATCATGATATCATGTCTTGATAATAAACCCATATTTAGGTGGGGAATCTAATGTACAAAGAAGCTGCATTATCTATCCAGATTTCAGATTTCCTAACTCCAATCTAAGGCTTTCTTTCTCTGAAACAACTCAAGAAGAAACAACTTGGAATACTTTTTTAAAAATTTACACTGGGTCCATCCATCTGGAACTATGAACCACTCCCTACTTCTGCAATGCTGGCAACCATACAAGCAAACAGAAAAGAGAATTTGATTTGGCATCTTTCCTTTTCACTCTTACAGCTGAGCCCTCTGCTACGACAACATTACTGTGAGGAGACAGTCGTCACCTGTCTATAAATACTCAGCTCTGCCAAGTGTGGACTGTTCTGTTTCTAGTCACTGGGTTGGAATATTGGATACCTGGGCCTGCCACGGAACAAGTGTGCTTGTATGTTCTTGACTCTCTGAAAAGTGGACCTTGCCCCATCAGCATTTCAAAAGTAAGGATATAATACAGACCTAATACAAATACAGCAATATTATGAAAAACAGGTCATGCTAAGAGGAGGTCACATATGAGAGGGGGAGGGTAAAAGAAGGAAGTTAAGAAGGTGAATATGGTTGATATATTATCTATACAAGAATGAAAATAGAATTTTTAAACCTGCTGAAACCACCATAAGAAGGAGACTAAGGTAGAAAAGAAGAAAAATAGAGGATGAGAAGGAGACTAAGATAGAAAAGAAGAAAAATAAAGGAGATGAATCAATCCGGGTTATAATACATATACATGGAAATGTCATAGGGAAATTCCCTGTGTAGCTATCTAAAACAAACAAAAATGTCAATTTTTTTTCTTTTACAAAACTGGAGAACACGAGAGCAGAAAAGGTTCTGCCTGGGGAGGTTGGTACCAGTGGTGGGGGGAGGGACGTGAGGAAAGGGTGTAGGAGAGTGAATATGCACAAATACTGTGTACACATGTATGTAAATGGAAAAAATGAGACCTGTTGAAACTATCCCAGGAATGCAGGAATGGAGGGAGGGAGGGAATAAAGAAGAATGGTGTGTGGGGGGGGTGAATTCAACTATGATATATTTGATATATTGTAAGAACTTCTGTAAATGCCACAATGTACCCCCACCCAGCATAACACTATAAATAAATAAATACATAAATAAGTAAATAAACGTATGGAGCTAACAAATTCCAATCAGTAGGGGGTGGAATTAATTCATATTTAGGAAATGCCAGGAAATATCATATGCTTACCACCAACACTTTAAGAAAAAAGCTTTTATAATCAATCTCTCATCATATAACATACTTCCAAACTCCATTCTTTCCAAATTACAGAAATGGACTTTCTATTTCCTTTCTGCAATGAATGACACTATCTTTTCAAGAAAGGCACTGAGAAGAGAAATGATTGGAATTCAAATTTTCTGAGCTCATTTAGATACTAAGTTGAGTGACTGTAAAGTTTAAAACCATGCAAAAAATATTTTCTTCTGCAAGCCAAAAATTAATTATAACTAAAGAATTATAGACTGAAAAATAAAATTCAATGTTTTTAAGAAAACTATTGTGCTGATAGCTGTATTAATCAAATGCTCATTGAAGCTGAGAACGGCATGTGTTTCTTCAGAGAAGCCATCAGAAAAGAAACCATAAAAGAATAAATACCTTTCAGAAGCAATTCAGTCACTCATTCCATAAATATTTATTGAGCCCTTACTTTTGCCATGTATTGTTCTAAGTTTCAAGGATACAACAGTGAGCAAAAGAGAGAAAGTCTTTGTTTTCACAGAATTTACATTCTAGTTCCCAAAAGGCAGAGTCAACACAGTTTTCACAAAGACCATGGAAAAGAAACAAAATAAAATAGATACCCTGGGTATCTCAAATGCTCATCCAGGCATGTAGCCTTCAAGGTAGAATTATGTCACTTCTGTATTTTGAAATCAAAATATCATAGCAAAACTATTTATTTTAAGTAGGTTTAGTGTACATATTTAAAGCACACAACTTAATAAGTTTTGATATATGTATACATCCAGAAAACCATCACCAAATTCAAGGTGGGTGACATGTGTATCAGTCCCTAGAGGATTTCTTCATCTCCCTGCACCATCTTACCCCAAGTAATTCTGATCATCTGTCACCATAAACTAGCTTGTATTTTCTAGAATAGATATCACATGACTTCCTTCATTTCACATATTTATTTTGGCATGGATCCATGTCTTCCATATATCCAGCACTCATTCTTTCCTATTGCTGAGAAGTATTCTATTATACTGGACTTCTGAGTTGTTTCTAGTTTGGGGCTATCACAAATAGAGCTGCCTGACAGACTTTCTTTCATCCAAGACCCAATTTGCATCCCATTTTTTTAAATGAAGCCATCTCTAAGGACTCTTATCCTCCCTCTGATATTCTGCAGAAACTAAGATCCACCACTTGTGGAGAACAGGAAAAGTACACATTTCCCCTGGAAATACATTTCAAAGATCACAAAAAGGGTCAGGCATGGTGGTGGCTCACACCTGTAATCCCAGCTACTTGGGAGGCAGAGATCAGGAGGCTCATAGTTCAAGGTCAGCCTGGGCAAAAAGTTAACAATGTACAACTCAGGAGACTATCTGGAGGAGGCAGTGGGAGGGAGAAGGGGGAAAAGAAAGTATACTGAGGGGTGAAGAGGATAGAAGTAGTCTATATATATACCTATGAATGTCATAATGAAACCCACCAAACTATTTGAAAAAGGGGGAAGAGGCAGAGGGGGAATGGAAATATAATGGAGGGGGTGAAATTGTTCAAGGTATATTGTATGCATGTATGGAATTATGAAATCCCCTCATATTAAAAAAGTGTTATCCCACTCTTTCTTATATTTTATACACACACATACACACACACACATATATATATTATATACATTCAAGGCAGGCATAGAGGTACATGCCCATAATCTCAGCTACAGGGAGGCAGAGGTAGGAGGATCATGGGCCAAGGCTTGTCCCAGACCCTATCTGAAAAATAACTGAAGCAAAACAGTGCTAAGGGTGTAGCTTGAGTGTAGAGGCCTTGCCAAGCAAGCACAAGGCCCTGATCTCAAACCTCAGTACTGCAAAAAAACAAACAAACAAACACCCAAAAAGCCTCACCAGGGTCTTACCTGTGAATATTGGATACACTTGCACTCACCATGATCCCATAACACATTAATACCAGCACAAAAAGGTGCACCGAGTACCTTTAAAACAGAAGGAAGGGAAAGGCAGACACTGAGTATTTCACATTAACATACCTGTTACCTACTCTACCTCACCCTGCAAAAAAGCAAGCCATCAGCCATGCGGTCATGGGACAGGAAGTGAGTCAAGCACTGCTACTGCACATGATTGAGATGCCTTATCTGGGAATGACACCCTGAAGTCTGCCCATAGTTTGCCAGCCTTGGTACCCGCAATGCCAGGAGCCCATAGACAGAATGCTCACACTTTGTCCACATCCTTACACAATGGAGAGTCCAGAGAGAGGAGTTCTTGCTACAGGACCTCATTTCTTAAGCTTTAAAGTACCACTAACAAAATCAGGTTTCCCCAGATACCAAGGCTTTTACAAGGTGGCTGACTCAAAATATTGATTCTTTTACAAATGTCTGTTGAAGGATTAGGAGTGATATGCTGGTACCTTGAACAAATCCACACATTTCCTGAAGATATGCTTCTAGAAATGTTAGACTCAGAAACTTTTTCCCAAAGAAGTACCACACCCAGGGTTATCTGCTCAGCTTAGTAAAGTCCAATCTCCAGATTATAACAGGCATTGCTCCCTCTTGTAGAGGATGACTCACAGTCACTAAGACATGCACTAAAACCTTTTTGATTAACACCAGTGTCTCCAGCAGTAATATAAGAAATACGCCAATGTCTGTAAAGGTTAGGAAAGGTTCCTTTTTGGGAAAAATGAAACCTGATATCATCCATTTACATGGCCCAGGGAGATCTGCAGAAGTCTAATTGTAAGAAAAAATTCACTGCATGACTTCCAGTGGGTTGTCAGTTAATTGGTTCCAAGCTCTTATCTCTAATGGAAGCTCCTGCAACATCCCTATTATTTTATAGTAAGGTATTTACAATATTATAAAGCTTTTCAATACGTATGTACAACATGGTATTTATAACACCATATACATCCATAATTTTATTATTTTGTTTACTTTCACAGTGCTGGGAGACCAAACCCAAGCCACGCACATACTAGGCAAATGCTCTACCATTGAGCTACATTCCCAGCCCCTGGTTTGAGACAGGGTCTCACTATGTAACTCAGACTGGCCTTGAACTCACTACGTATCCTAGGCTGGTTTCCAACTCTCAATCCTCCTCCCTCCATATCCCCAATACTGGGATTAGAGACATGCACCACCAAACCAGCCATATATTTCTTACATTTCTGCAGTGCCAAGAATACCACTTCAGAACATCCAAGTGATAAATATTACCATTTATGAGGTTCATACTCACCAGCCAAAACAAAAAATGACGAAGTAAATGCCCAAAATGGTGGCAAATGCATGCCGAACCTGGGAACTGGTTTTACCAGGATGTAAGTAGATGCGAAACCAGAAAGCAGCAAACAAGGCAAAGAGCTGGCAGGCCACAAAGTTAACCTGTGGGAAAAGAAGAACCTTTACTGTATTGTCTATGTATAAATTTGCTTTCTTTCTTTTACATTTCTACATCCAGATGCATCTCAAACTTACATTTAGTTCTGTTCCTCAACTGAATGTTTGTTTGAAAGAGGATAAGAGATAAAATAAATATGAAATATCTTCATGTGGTGTAAGAAACGATAAGCCCAATGGTTTCTTCTCCAGCCCCTTAAAGCTAGTCCAGGCTGCTTTCCCTCCCACACACAGGGGCAGTACTGGAGTTTGAGCTCAGGGCCCTGCTCTTACTAAGCAGTGCTCTACCACTGAGCCAGGCTCACAGCCCCACACAAGTCTAAGCTGACAGTGAGCTCTGTTGGCTATCCTTCTTTTCCCACTTCTAGCACTACCTTAAGAGAAAGAATGTGTTCTTTGAGAGAGGCAGAGTTGGGCAAGAGAGTTCCCTTGTTTGGCACCTAAAACTCAAAGGCTTCTTCAAGGTGGCCATCATGTGTTTTCTGACTAGTTTTCTCATTTTAAATTAGCACCAAGTAAGTTAATGCATTCTTCAAAATTAAGGCATGACACTAAAGAGTCACAAAAGAGAGAGTTCTACATTAACGTTCCAGTGCCAATAGTGGAAATATGATGTACTCATGTGTGAAAATGGAAAAATGAGACCTGTTGAAACTATTCTCGGAATGGGGGGAAGTGGGGGATAAAGGAGAGTAATGGAGGGGGTAAATTTAACTAAGATACATTATAAGAACTTATATAAATGTCCCAATGTATTCCCGGTACAACAATACTAAAATAAATAAATATAAAGGTAGATAAATAAAGTTCCAGGGCCAGGCCTGGTCAACTATGCAAGATAGACACCAAATTTCCTTAGGAAAAAAATCTCGGTGACCCAACCCATTTGACCTAGAGGCTGTGAGCCTAGCTCAGTGGCAGAGAACTTGTTTAGCAGATGCAAAGCCCTGGGTTTATCCTCCAGCTGTACAAAACAAAACAAACCAACAAAAAAATCACCTAAAATAAAATGTAAAACAATTCCCTGAAATCCATAGGAAATATCAAATAAAAATTAGAAAAGTAACAAATTCTTCAAAGTATTCAAAATGAAAATTTCAGTTTCAATTCACTTTTAGAAGACAATTAATAATAATAATAGAAAAGACTGGAGATATGCACGAACCCTCAGCTTTTCTTCAGTGGTTTTTCCATGCTGTGACAAACTGCAGCCGTTAAGAAACTCTTTCGGGCTGTTCTAGGAGATAGGGCTGGAGGCGGTGGACTCCACTCCATGTGAGCTCACTTTGTTTTCCAATAAAAAGCAGCAATACCTTGTGATAATGTACATGAGGGAACTTTGTTCCAGTGACTATAGAAATAAAAACTGAGATGGGTGCACAAACTCTCAGGCAAGTTTTAACTAGAAGGCAAAGAGTTGAGGAAGGGGCAGCACTGATTTTTGGGGATTCAGAGAGAAAAGAACAGGCATTTTATGAGGCTGCTGGGGTGGTCTGAGGTCTGGTCATTTTTGGTAGCCGTGAGGATGGTATTTTTAAAAATTATCTTCCTCATGGTTTAAGAGGATTTTCCTATGCAAGATACAGGTTCTGGCATTATCCTACATCTGATGGGTTTTTTCTTGTAATAAGAGGATAAGGAAAAGGTACATTTTATATGTTGACAAGGGAGGAAAGAAACTCTTTTCTTATTATTATAAATTTTTATTAGGATATATTCATTATACAGGGAAAGGAATCATAGTAACAATTCCAATTAGACTTATATTGTGTATTACTTACATTGCCCCCATCATCTCTCCCAAGCCCCCTCCCACCCCACTTAAAGCAATTGCAAGAGGTTATTTAGCTCTATTTCATATAGGTGTTTGAAGCCCACCAACCATACACTGTCACTTTAATCTCCTTCATTCACCAAAGAAACTCTTGGTGGGTCACAGGTTTAATGGATTAAGAGCACGAGAACCAGGGCTTGCAGATGTGGCTCAGGTAGTCCAGCACCTGCCCAGCAAATGCAAGGCCCTGAGTTCAAGTCCCAGTACCCTCCCCTCTGACAACCACACACACAAAATGGAGCATGAGACCCTATCATATCTTGTCCTCACAAGGGTCCTATTTCAATTTCAAAAAATTTCATCTTTGACTCCTTTATAATTCATAGAAAATAACACTTTCAGAGAATCTTTATTTCAGTTTTTAAACACTATTGAATTTTCTCTTTATTTGGAGTTTATTTGCAGTCTTCCCAAAAACCTGTTCCCACAATTGTCCACCTTCTCTTTTACCTTAAGAGGCACAAAGAAAGTGACTTATGAGTCCATTATGCAAAATGTGGTCATATCTTTTTATCTAGCCTAAATTAACAGCCAATAACTGCATTCACACACACACAAAATATATAGAGAAAAAAGTGATCACCTTACAAGTTTCAAAATGTAAAGGAATTAGCAACTGGAAAGTCAAAAAGCTAATACCAGCTGTAGGAAATGTAGGAAATCAAGCCTGTGTTCCCTCATCCTCTCAGCCCAGGCACTAGCCTACAGCCATGGTGAAATATATTTACTCAGGAAAGCAGCCATGGAGAAATTTCCTCCATTCTTTCTGGTTTGCCCACTGATTATGGAGCATTTGCACATGATGAATGATTCAGGGGACAGAACAGTGGTTCTCAAAAGTGTAGTCCTAAGGCCAGGAGCAATAGGTCACCTGAGAACTTGTTAGAAATGCACATTCTCACTCTCCCCAGACCCATTGAATTAGACATCTTGTGGGTTAGAGCGAGCTTTCTCTCACTCCTGCTACTACAGAACCTAACTGGGGCTCACTGGGGGCAACAGAGATGCAGAAAGGACAAAGGATAGGCAGACAGATATGCATAAAGTTGGGGTCAGGTGTCCTAGGGGCTTGGATAGAGACACACAACAGCCTCATTGCTTCTTTTCTGTATTATTCTCTTCATTTACTTTGCTTCTTTTCTCTATCTTTATTCTTCAAGGCCTTGCTTCTAAAGTCTTTCTTTTCTGTTCTTTAAAGTCTCTTTTCCTTGACTTGCTCCATCCCATGTTTTCTCTTTAGCTTTCTTTAGCTTAATTTCTCTTAGAGTCTTTGTGCTCAGATTTGCACTGTCCCATGTTCTCTCTTTAGCTTTCTTAAAGTCTCAGTGCTCAGACTTGTAGACAAACAGCAGCCGCATCTAAAGACTGCATTAGCATAACTCTTAAAGTCTCGGCCCTTAGACTTGCACTGTCCCATGTTCTCTTTAGCTTTTCTTTAACTTAGCTTTTTAAAGCCTATATATAAAGTTCCCAGTGCAGAAAGCTGCTCTGGTGGAGACACACCAGCAGCAGCAGTGGCAGCAGCAGCCAATCAAAATCCCCCATCAAAAAACCTCCCATCAAAAAGCCTCCTGTCCTCCTTCAGTGAGTCTTTTATATCCAGTGGTAAACAAGGAGGTGCAGCAACAGTTCTTGGGGAAGGGAGTGACACTGAAACAAGAGAAACCTGCATTCTTACTTCTCTGAACGTAAACAACTTAGGAAAAGCAGCTGTGCTGCATTTTGCCTTCTCCATCTCTTCTGCGGCTGGGGCTGTGCCAAACTCAGCCTGTAGCTCATTGGGCACAGCTGTGCTATGTCAAGTTATCATAGGCTTCTCATAATCTGCTCCCCACAGAATTTTTGTTCCCTACCTTCAAGGAGTTTATTATCTAACTGGGGGAAAATGCAACCTAACAGTGATTGTATTGTCTGAACTGACAAAGATTCCTTTCTTGACCAAACCTTCATGAGGCTCCTGAAACTTCTCCTAAGTCCAAATGTACACTTCTTTATAAAATCTAGTTTTAGCAAGAATCCCTGCATTCTCCATGTCTGATCACCCTTAGTGTCTGACTGGTTTCCTCCTTGCCCATCATCCCCCAGGTTGTCCTGGGGCTAGAGAAGTTAATATATATGATCATTTGCAACAGCACCTGCACTTTTTATTAAATTATTCTATATCTACAAAATTCACACTTGTTGCACAAATAGTGCATAGAATAAATTCAGGAAGTGGTAGCTACTGTTATGTTGTTTAGAATTCACTTGCCTTGCACCTGTTCTCTCTCCCACTCAACATTCACATGGCAGCCCAAGTCTTCTGCATCCTTTCTTCTACAGTGAAAAATACAGCCCAGGACAGAGTCAATCTCTGCATTTTCAGTTCCTAAGTAGATTTTATAAACCTAGAGCAGACAAACCTGAAACTTTTACTTTTAAAAATTTATCTTCATAAATCAAAAGCAAAGTTGAATAAATTAATAGGAAGAGTTTCTATTCCAACTATGGAGGGAAGAAAAACTCTGAATGATAGAAAGGCTATTTTTCTGCACAAAAGGCAATCAAGTACTTGGTCAGTAGGCTTAAGAGGGAATGTCCTCTGTGGTAAAGAGGACATTTATGCTGTAAACCCATAATTTCAGCATCTAGGGAGGAGAAGGTAGGAAGATTGCAGTCTGAAGTCTACCTGTGCAAAGCATGAAGCCCTATCTGAAAAACAAACTAAAAGCAAAATGACTGGGGGCGTGAATCAGGTGGTAGGGTGCTTGCATAGCAAACACAAGACCCTGTGCTTAATCCCTGTTACTAGAAAAAAAATGGGGGTGGGGTGTCTCTAGTTGGGGATGGGCACAGAACTGGCACTTAGATATGTGAGTAGAAGGGTGGAAAGAGCACAAAAACTGGTGGGATCTAACGGGGGTCAGGAGAAACAATGGAAGTATCTAGAAAGAGACAGCTGCCTGGCTGCTTGGACAGCAATAAAATGCAGTGGCCAGTCCTGCAGGAAAGCATGTTCCCAGAAGGCTGACTGGATACTGAAGCTGTAGCTTCTTAGGGCCCTCTCCCAGGCTCTGGGAACAGCAGAGAAGTGAGACAAGACATGGCAGACCTGGAAAGGTCTTGTGGTTGAGACCATCACATGTGAACCTGCCACACAGAGCCATGGAGG